TGATAGTGCTCGATGAATGTAGAAAAAAAATGAGTCAAACTCAAACAATTCAGTTCTCTAAATATGAAATTTTGAATGAGTACATAATCAGAAAACATCATAACAATAAGAATACAACATTGAATTTGTGATGGCTATATCGTAAATACATTTCATAAGTGATGGTTTGAGTGCTTTTTCAAACAGGCGAAAAACACGAAATTTGTTTTTCAATATGTTTGTAAAATATGTAGCACATACTATATAAGAACTATATACGATATCAACGAAAATACCCTAAGCTACAATATTAAAGCAATGTTACTAATTTAGAAAAAGCACAACGAGTAAATTTAATCTTTAAATTATACTATCAAAGTTACCCGCATTATCAAAGATACCCCGTTTTACGGTACCATAGTTTCATTAACCTATGATCCTAATTTCACGCATTTTTCGAAAATACAATCCAAATGTAAAATGGAAACATTTTAAATTGAGATATTACAACATCTTAAGAAAACTATTTTAATTGACTCTGCAATGCTCATAACATTATTAAAAATTCTTGCTAGGAATTGCCAGAAGAATTCTCCTGAAAATTCACTTGGAGTTCTCCTCAGCATTTACTTAATATTATCCTGAAATTCCCATAGAATTATCTTAGGAATATTCTTTTTAGTTCTGCTAGGAGATCCCAAAAATTCTTCGAAATGCTGATAATGCTAATGATGATTAAGATAATTAAATATGACATTTTAACCAGGTTAGCAAACAAAATCGATTACATTTCAAAACCAAACGCATTTTTTTATTCTGCATGCGCTGTAATCTCGATATTTGTGTTGCATTGACCAGAAATAAAAGAGAAGGGCAAAAGCCTAGATGAGGAGAGATGATTGATTTGTATAACTGTATTTTACTGGCAATAGTTAAATCGTTTTTCAGTCAACATAGAATTCCATACTTCTTGGCAATTTTCTTGATGACATTGTCAATGTTAGAGTTGAACTTAAGGGGCTATTCCCAATCTTTTGCCTTTTTTCGGCCTGTTTTTCAATTATTTTTTTTTTCAAGGAAAATGAATAGTAATGCGCCTAACTCTTTGGGATTCTTGTTTATTGAACATTAAAGTTTACAAATAAATTTTTTTCGACATAAAAAAAGACATTATTGACGTCACAAAATGGCGGCAAACAGACCCCTGTTCGCCGCAAACGCCTGGACGGGCGAAGACTTTTCTCTGGAACGGCTTCATCTGAAACAGATTTCGTGATGAAATTAATAATCTGATAAGATTCTCTGGAGCTTCTCCCGTTGGCAGCAAAAAATCTTGCAAATTAACAAAATGGCGGCCATATGAAAAAACAGGCGATTTTTAGCCCGCTTTTTTGCAGCTTTAAGGTGCTTCAAACAATGTTAAATGTTAATATTTTTGGCTGAAAGTGGGAGAAGCTCCAAAGAATTTAATAAGGAACAAAATGCGCAAAGATTCAAGTCAATATCTCTTATAATTTCTGAGAAAAATCTTCGCCCGATAAAAAAATGTGGTTTCGAGAAAAACGCGTTTAAAGTTTTGACTTTAGTTAAAACCATTTGGGGGTTCTTACCATTAGTCAGCTATGCCTGGACACCGAATTCGCTGATCGGAAAACGGCTTGGGGGGATGAAAGTATATAGTCTAAAGTACAAAAAAACGTGAAAAAAAAAATTTGATTTTTTGAAAAAAAAGATCGGGAATACCCCTTTAAGTGTGTCATCAATAATCACGCCAAGATATTTAATCTCCCGAACGCGATCAATAGTCTCATCATCAATTACAACAGAGACGTTCTCATTTACTCGATTCCGCGAAATTACCATAAATTTAGTTTTAATTGTATTCAATTTCAACTGCTTATACTTCAACCATCTACTTAGAGAACACAAATCTTCATTCAACTGTAAAACGGCATCATCTAAATCCTTAGCTGCATTGAATAACACAGTATCATCTGCGAAAAGATTAATATCGCAAAATCGTAAAACAAGTAATTAATATACATAATAAATAACAGGGGCCCTAATACACTTCCCTGGGACACTCCAAGGTTATTTCCCACGGGACTGGAAGCAGAATCATTAAAAACAGTCCGCTGAATTCTGTCAGACAATTAGCTTTCAAACCATTTATATGCAGTACTCGTAATTCCAAAGCGCTTGATTGATCTTAACAATAAGGGCCTAGAAATTGTTTCAAAAGCGCGTTTAAGATCAAAAAAAAAAAAACAGTAACAATCGTATCTTTACACTCCAAGTTATTTTTCCACTTCGCTAATACCAAATTCAACGCGGTTTCACAAGAATGACCTTCCCGATATCCCGATTGTTTTGGTATCAACAAACTATTTCTATTTAAATACTCCAACAGCTGGCCTTTAACAACAAGTTCTAAAACTTTCTCTAATGTATGCAACATGTTGATGGGACGAAACTCTTCGGTTTTAATCGTTCCAGCAATTTTTTGAATAGGGACCACTAAGGATTCCTTCCAAATTTGTGGCACATGTCCAGTTTATAATGATTCATTAATAAGGTCCAGCAAGATATGGCCAATGACAATGCTGCTTGGATTCTCCTTTGAATTATCAGAAAAAAAATAACACCGGAATATCCTTAGAATACTCCTCGAAATCCACTTGAAATTTAGCTCAGAATTTTCTAAGGATATTCCTAAGAAATCCGTTAGAGGTATTGTTTAAATTCTAATTGAATATACGTTGGAATTACCGTTGAATTTTGCTCCTATTCCTTGGTATTCAACTATGAAATTTTCACCTGAAAAATTACTGTCCGAAGTACCATGGTATTACATATCTCTAGAATCTATTCTAAAATCTGTTCAAAACTGCTTTGGAAAAAAGTTCTTTTAATAGTTCTTTAAAGTAACTGTATCCAAGGGTCTTGAGATTTTTTAAAGAGAGAAGAAGCACCTTTTTTTCTATTTGGCATCGAAGTTCACGAGTTTATCCCGGTGACATCGAATTTCCGGCATTTTCCAGTTATCCCGATTTTCCGGTCACACTGATTATTTAATTTTGCAGTTGAATCTGGACTCCTACAAGGTGCGAAATCTCAAATAAAAGTGTGCTTTGATGATGTATCGTCTTGGTTTCTTCTGCGTACTTTTTCGTAAGTTAGTTTAATGAACTTCCAACTAAGAACTAAGCATAGTGTAGCACTGTTACAATTTTTATTTATTTTTTAACAAATTTTACATTGCAATGCAAGCGGGAATGGCGAAAATAGTGACTTTAGTGACTTTTTGTCGAAAATAGGGACTTTTTAGTGACCACCTTCAAAAAAGTGAAAAAGTCACTAAAAAGTGACCCGCTATCAGCCCTGTTTTCCCCACTTCCAACCGCAGTTTTCACAGCAAATCCCAGCTCAATTTTGGCTGTCGGCAAGAAAGAATCATCAGAAAGTTCGACACATGTGAGCGATTTGACATTCACATTTCAAAAGCACCGGTTTGACCCATTTATCCATAACTGGTTTAGTTAGATTTGTTAATTCGGTGAAAAGAAAAGGCACCGACATACAACTATAAATTATTATTTGGTTTTGCTAAAAAAATTCCCGGTTTTTCCTGGTAAAAAAAAATTCCCGACATTTTCCTGGTTTTCCAGGTTGACTTGAAACCCTGCATAACAGAAGTAGAACTTCGGATCAGAAAGTGACTCTAGTTTTCTTTGGCGAACACTAGCGCACCTAGCGGTAGAAGCCATCTTCTGCTTGCAGTTAAGATAGGCAGCATGCTATGATAGTGTGAGTGCGCATAGAAAGCCCGCTACCACAACGCATCGCTTGTTGAGCAGAAAAACGTACCACTTTTTGATTTACCGATTTGTTTGCACTTCCCCTTCTGTTCTTTGGTCTGATGTTTCATTCTATTAGTGGATGATATTTGAGTGCATTTTTTTTGCAACCATGGAAAATAAATGATTTAACTGGCATCCGTACAAACCGTTCATGCCATAATAAAACTCTTCGTTATGCAGTTTTTTTTCGCGCGCAAAAGTTCAAAATGAAGTGCAAAGCAAACCTTTCCAACGTAATGTTTTGATCTTCCGTTGTTTGCGAAATAAATCGGAATGTGCAAAGCGTTTTGTGTTCGTAATATTACAATACTTCCCCCGCAAAGACCAACGTTTGGCTACATTCCTCCGCTTATCTATGGTATCTATTATAGCCTAAGCAAGTTAATAAATTATGATCACATCCATGGTCACACTTGTATAGTTTTTGGATTTGCTCATAATTGATTACACAAATAATGCTCATATTCACAGATTATCATGCGGTATTAGTGTTTCATATCGCACCGCCCTCAACTTCGAAAACTGGAGCTCTGTTTGCTAAAACATTTCCTCTATCACCATGTTATGGTGGATTTTATAACGGTCGATTATCAGTTCACCACAGGTTGCAATAAAACATTTTCAAACAGCGTCGTTTTGTCCAATATTAGGTATTACTCATCCTCCTTGTTGCGAAGCGGCAAGCTGATGCTTGTTTTGCTTTGTAATATTTAGCTCCGCGCGCACATGAACCTTTTCCTTCAATTTAAGGTTATGTCGTGTCGTGTGCCTCACAGTGCGATTGTTACATTTACGACAGCCACTCACGCTCGTTTGAGGTTGACCTCCTTTTCTCCAATGCATCATACCTACTTTCGTCTGGCGTTCGTCGATAAATGAAAATTTCCCGCGATGTACTTTTTACACATTATTGTTGTTTTCTCGAATGTTGCCGGGTTGGTGTGTTGTGTAAACACTGCACCGCCACCACTACCAGCCCATGCGGGTGTAAGGTTATTTAAATTTCTGTCACATTGTGCAATAAACAGCCGGCGGTGGGTCACTCACATTCACATACTCACTTAAAGCGCCGCTGTGGCATGTGAGCGTGTGTGTGTATGTTGGTCTCAACCAAAGTGCATGAATGTGTATCGATTCATGGCACTCGGAAAACATGCTTACCTGCATCGTTCGGTTGTTCCAGCCAAGTCTTCCGTCGTTTGCAGTTTACTTCCACTTCCTCACTGTACTCTTTTCGCTTTCGTAGATGTTGTTGCTGCTGCTGCTGATGGTGATGGTAATTTTCCACTTCGCCGATTCCACCACCGCAGTCCATCATCGAGGAGGAATTATTATCGACGACTGATGCCGCTACCGGATGGCAATCCAATAAGACACCAACACCATCACCGTTGACAGCAACAGCGGCGGGTGGCGTTCCCTCTGTTGACATCATCTTCGGTAATGAGTTGGCCGGCACGTACCCGTAGTAACCGTTGGAGCTGAGATGGGCCACAGGTTGGAAGTCATCACAAACGTTGCCATGCTGCGAGCCGTGGTGCAACGGTTGACTGCCGAAAGGGCTACTTCCGGTAGTAGCGGTTAACATTGCTGCCGCTGCAGCGGTGTTACGTCGGCAAACCAGCGTTGAAGGCGATGCAACTACCGCTGCCGTTGCTGCTGGTGGTGGTGGAAACAGCAAGTTCTCGTTTTTGTAAAAAGTTACACCCTGATCGTTGTCTAGTGGTAAGTAGGACGTGTTGCTGTAACTGGAAAATACCATTGCTCGCTTGGTCCCAATATTGGTTGTCTGTCCTCCACTAGGTTGGTTGGCGTCAAGCCGAATGTCTTCAATCAATCACTAATGCTGCTAAATCCACAAACGAATCCGGTGGCCGCGTTGGGGGTGGTGAAAATAGTCATCGACCGCCACCGCATACGGAAAACGCGTTAGTAACGATATTAAAAATAGATCAATTAAATGTCAGATGATATACAACACAACGCGATTCGACTTTCCTTCCGAGTGATTCGGATTGGCTTTGTAGTACAATTTTACTACCGCGTTTCAAGACACCACTCTTAGCACTTCGCCACCCATCCGTCGCAGAAAACCACCGTACGAAACTCAGGCCCTGTGATGCCTGAGAGCGTATGTATTTTGCGCTGGTGAATCGTATTGGTTTGATTGTGTTGTGGAGTGGAGAAGATGCGAATCCGCGCGGCACTAAATACTAACTCCCGGAAAGTCACAAGCGGTAAATCGAACAACGCGCGTAGAAGCCAACGACCGAAAAACGAACTCGACACGGCAACAGCTAGAAGCGAATTAATGAGAGAATTCCGCGACCGCGGCTAACAACAACTGAAACCAGCGCGCTCTTTGAAGCAGGGTGTATGTGCAGGCAGTGCTGCCATAATTGTTTTAAATCTTCAACTGTATTTTAAACTTCAACAATCTTTTTTAATTTTTACAGCTTCGAAAGTCTTAATGAATTTGTAGATTTTTTCCAAAGTCTGCATGAAACTGAATATTTTTTACAAAATTCGTTCTGTATACAGATTACATATCCAAAACTATTCACGAAACGAAAATCAATTACTTTATTCATGTGTTTCACTTATACATTTTTGTCAAAACATCAGACAAACCACATAGGTCTTAAAATAATGCATAAAAGGTATGTGTGACCACTTATACATTTCATTTGACACATGATCTTTATTAACTTTTTGCAAGGCGTCTGTTTATTAGGTTACTTATAGATTTTATGAATAATCAGCAATAGTAATTTGCCAAAAGGTATAAGGAGATTTCTATCCGTGTTATATAATACTTATGTATCGATATATACATTCAGAACCATTTCGGCTCCGTAAAGCTTCCGCATTTGGGCCTTGTTTTTTTGTAAACCTGCACCATTCCAGAACAATTTGAATAAGCGGCATCACTGGACGCCACAGAGGGAGACCGCCGTTGGATTGTTGAGTGCCTCCAAGATGCATAAAGAAGTAATGGTGGACTCGTCACGTTTTAGCAAACTGATACGTATGATTCAATATTGAAATTGAGTTCAAAGAATAATTGACGTTGAATTAATATGATTGAAGTTAGAAGCTGAATTCGATATTAGAGATTCCATTTTTAACTACTGATGCAATGACCGGTTGAACCAGCTAAAAAAATTAACAACCTTGAATGCCTTGAAAGAGAGATGTGAGTACATTGTGACGAGAGCCTTTGAGTGCTGTGAGGGGGTGGGGGTCAACTCATCGACCGGTGGACCAGCTGCGTTCTGATGTAAACATCAGAACACGCTAAAAGTGAAACCCTCAATTGGGTTGGGAAAAGTCCAACGTCGATCGGCCGACGACCCGTCGAACTGGCTGCGTACGGTATGGTTTAATTTTCTTCTTTGAATTGACCGTTGCAGGTTTACTGTGTTCTCTGATTTCTGTCCTGCCCGTGTTTTTTTTTTGGTTAGAGGGGCGCAGCGAAAGGCAAGCATTTTGTATAAGCTTCTTTTTTTTTAAATAATTACTTTATTTGTAAAGGCTCAATAGAATAAACTTTACAGAGCCGAGGTATCATTTTCGTTATACATTATTAATGTTTTATATTTAAAGTTAAAGAAACTGGACCGAATACTCGCGGTTGTCTCGAGGTTAGTGAATATTTACAATATTTTGGATGGGAAAAGAGAGAAGGAGGTTTGACATTTGATATACGATACAAATATTTAATTAATCCTAAAACATGAACTTATTTCTATTTATCATGAAAACAAACATTGAAAAACCCACACGTACAAAATACAAACTAAATACAAGGTTAATTGTAATTGTAATTGTAATTGTTCAGTGCATAGGCTGTGCCTTCCGCTAAGAAGGCTTATCTAGGGACCAACCCCCTAGTCTATACACCTACTGTCCTTCCCGTTGCACTCGTCAGCTCGTGCGATACTCTAGACACACATGGGTGGTCGTATCCGGGTCCTCCCCTGGGTAGGCTCGTGTCCGTCCAGGTTCTGGTACATTAACTTATCTATATGCATGGTAAAAATACTTTTAAAACTCACCTTTTGATTATAATGTCGAAAATGCTGAAACTAAATAAAGGTTAGCGATCAAGGTGTGTGCTGCGACGGAGTAGTAATTGAAGGAAATGAGGTTCTGATGTGAAGTATAGGTAATCCTAAAATAGGTAAATCAATTAATCATTAGCTACTAACAGTTACTAATAAATGGGTACGATAAATCACTCATCAATGAGTATTGCCACTCCCACTGAAAAATGGGCAAAACCTTAATCATAAATGGATATTCGATTCCTACCGTGTATTTAAAGTAAAGTTAGGATCTTATCAAGCAAGCACACACCTTTTACGATTCTTATCCTACTTACGGTTTCCTGCACATACGACTTTTCCTAGATACAAGCTTCGTCCAGTATACATTGGCTGTCTCCAACCGGCATGATCCTTTCTGTCTGCTTCCTCTTGCCGGTGTTTAATTCTTCTTTTCTTGTTCGAATTTTCTTTTTCTCCGATTGATCTTCTGGTCGTGTTCCCATTTGTCCTCAGGTAGTTAATATTAGTACATGATAGGAAGAAAGAAAGAAATAGAACAAGTTAAGTGTGAGCCGCATGCATTGGTTACTTATTTGGGTCATGGTGTTGCCTTCCCTATTTATTTGCCTCTATTCGCTCCCATATCGCAACGTTTAACTCTGGATCAACAATAGAAAAGGGCCCATCAGCACTCGCAAACAAACCGCTCCAAAGCCCCCCACTCACAAAGCGAAGGCCACCCACGCAAACCAACACCATCATCGGATAGGGGAAACTTCCACCTACACGAAGATGATGTTGGCCTGCGTGAGCAGCCTCCGATCTGTGAGGAATGGGCTTTGGACGGTCTGCCCACAAATGCCGATGGGCCCCCCTCCATTGTTGATCCAGAACTCACCCCCTTCCCTCACACTATTATGGTCGGAAAAGAGAACCCATATTTAGTAATCTATCGCGAACTGCGATGCAGAAGATATTAATAGCAAACTAATCTGGAACTGGTCCAGTGAGTATTGACACCTCACACTGTTGTGAATGAGCACGGACGCGAGATTTACTAGAGTATTAAATGCAAAACGCAAATTCAAAATAAAACTTGACAAGTCATCGTCAATCCCCTTATTCTTGGGCAGGGTCTGACGATGTGAATCTGATTTTGATCAGTGAACGAGCCCCATATGGTACATTTTCTCACTATGAACATGTCATTTCCAGCCTATCTGAACTATTTAATAAATGGAAACCATAACATGGGTTACGCTCCCCCTAAGCGGGCCCTCCGCATCCTGTCTCTGTCTTATCTCAAATACAAAATGCCAATGGTATGAATGTATCTATATATAACTTGGAAATGACGTACAATCAAATAAACCCGTAACCCACTCACTTGGTCAGGCTTCAGAATCGTCCAGTGGGCAGTGCGCTCTACACTCCAAGTTCCCTTTCTTTCAAATTTACCGCAAATTTGATATTTTACCCATTGAGTGTTGATTAGTCACAATGAAACATTGTGACAGAGCACGGACTTGAGGTTACTAGAGTATTAAATAATCTAGGTCCTATTTAGGATTATATCTGAAAAATCCAAATTTGGCCAACGCCCACCACAAACTAAATACAAGGTTAATCAAACTTAAAACCTAGGGTTAATGTTCTTAAAGTAAACATATTTGAATTTCATAAACTCCAGATCCCGTCTAGCCAAAATATCCCGAACTGGAACATCAGGTTGTCTACCTCGAGCCCGAAGGGAATCGCACTGCTCAGATCTGATTCCACGATGCTCAACGCAAGACCAAATCACGTGATTGGCGTCTTGGTAACCTTGTCCACATTCCAGAGCGTAACATTATTGACTGCTTAGGTTGAGTGTGAAAGCACTGCTCTATTCAATTGACCACTTTGTCAAGCAGTTTTGGCGTAACTTTCTACCAACGATTTCACAAAACTGGACCAACTAATTTCTATTTTTTTATGAAACGCTCAAATCATGGCTACTTTTCTCGAGGTTCTAGAAGAAAAAATTTCAAAATAATGTTTTATGTCAAATTTCGAGTGGTAGTAAACGTCATTTCAATTGCTCTGTGCAGACCGTTTGTACCAAAGGGTAAAGGACGAGGCAATGAATGAGCCAACAAAAATATTCAGTCACTCACAAACAGGCGACTCACACCGCTTGCCTTCGCTCACACAGCATGTAAAAAAAGTCATTTTTCCATAGAAAATGTACGCTCAGTCATTCAAAACAAGTATTGAGTACCATCACGGCAGAATAAACGTGCTGACTGAGTGCTCGGCTGTCAGTGACTCGTTCACCTCTCAATCATTTTTGGCTCAGCTCTGGTACTATCTTCGGTCCCAAACTAATCGATGCACCCCTCGAAACATTGGAAAATCCACGAACCCCTCATTTTATCTGTCAAACTTTCATAGCGAGATCAAAACAAACATAGTGTGGTATTGGAATTTAAACTAGAATGGGGTACGTCAATCGATTTGCCTGGGACCAATAGGCTAGTCAAGTAGTGAGCCAATTTAAAATCGTTAGTTTCGAATTGATTGTTGATAATAGTTCTTATACCACTATGCGTCCATGTATTAATCGATTGCTTTGTAAATGCTTTATAAACGACGTATTAGCAACCGGTGGAAACTAACGATTTTAAATTGGCTCAATACTTGAGTAGCCTATTGGTTCCAAGCAAATCGTTTAACGTACCCCATTATAGTTGAAATTCTAGTACTACACTATGTTTGTTTTGATTCGCTATGAAATTTGACAGATAAAATGAGGGGCTCGTGGATTTTCCTATGTTTCGAGGGGTGCATCGATTAGCTTGGGACCAGAGCTGAGCCGAAAAGTTGAGCATGTTTCTTCGGGACCTTCTAGTCTTTGAGTTACCTCTATGGTATTAGGTTCATTATTCCACAACACTGGTTCAGTCTAATAACAAGACAAAATCAGTAGAGTAGTGGTTACCGTTTCTGCTTTCCAAGTAGAAGGTCACGAGTTCAAACCCAAGCTCAACACTTTTTTCATTTGTGTTATACCTACGTCAAATAAATTTAAATCGTACACGTCGAATGAGAACAACCCAAATTTGAGTTTAGTTCACTCATAATCGCCAAAAGTGCAGGAACTCAGCGATGAGTAAATTTACCTCATGTTTTCCCAGGGTTTTCCAGGGTTTTCCAGGGTTTTCCAGGGTTTTCCAGGGAAAAATTCCCGAATTTGAGAAAAGTAAAGATTGGATTCACGCAGTCTATTGGTACTACTCCGAAACTGAATAA